GTGTTCTGAGGAAAAATACCAGTGACATGTGAAAGACACACTTTCAGATTGATAACGCCTGACAGAGATTCACTTGTGTGACAGCAAGGATTGACATTCTTCATTTTGCTGAGCTTTTGAATAGAAGGCAGAGTGAAGCAGAAGGACTGGCAACCTTAAGGCAGATGATGACAAAGCATTCTGCTTGGCTCAGGATTTGGACAGATCGATACCCACTGCCCATAATGATGTGCTGCACATCTTTGCCACCAACAAAGAGCGGTCCACAAACATAATGCCGAAACGTGTGTCGTTGTTCTCCATTCAAACGTCACCAACATATATGGCCGACCGATTACAAAAAGAGCTACCCTAAAACAGGAATTGTGATGCAGGAGGCAACACAAACCTTTCATAAGGACACAAAGACAAGCTGATTGACACACTGCAAGCGAGCTTAACGGTGTCCTGATATCATGATCACAAGAAACATTGATGTTGAAGACGGGCTATGGTTAACGGGTACGATTTGGCAAGATTGCAAGAATAATCTATCCAGACTGAGAATGGTTGACGACTACGGTTAAACCAAGGCTTGGGCTTGTGACTGGACAATCACAAATGCAAGACAGAGATATCCGTAACAAGTCGTTCCTGGTGGATGCTGACAACTTGGTGTGTACTGGATAGGGGTTATAGAAGGCAAACCTTGAGACAGAAAGGAGTTGTTATGCAGGCAGTTCCCCTTTGAAGTTGGCTTTTGCATGTACGATTCATAAGTGTCAGGGATGCCGATACAGTCGGCAGTGGTCTCATTGAAGCGGTGTCTTCCAAACCAGGGAATGTTCCTATGTTGCTTTGGAGTAGAACGACTACACTGCAAGGACTGCACCATAAACCGACTTTGATGAGAAGAAGATCTTTGCTGAATCCTGGAAATCTCAAACAGCCTCCCTAGACTCAATGAAGAAATGCATCACTGGAAAGTGTTATGCCCTCTTAAAGTTTCTACAGACAACAGACATAAACAGCAAACATTAACAATTATCCATCACAACATGAGAAGGATTACCAGCTCACATTGAAGATATCAAATCTCACCACGAGTTATAGAATAATACTTGGGATGTTTTATGTTTCACTGAAACTATCTTCTCCTCAGGCTCTTCTGTTGCTAAAAGTCTCCAGCTGGAGGGCTACAACCTTTCAAATGCAACAGACACCTCTCGTACACGAACGTTTCCTGACATTGCAAGTAAAAAGTGAGCGGAGTGTCGCCTTGTATGCAAAACCATTTCAAGGCCTTGAAAAGCAGTTATAATCACAATGTGACTGACTTGGGAGTTCTTGGGTTGTCACACTGGAGTACCCTGTTACAAGCTTTTGATCGCTGTTGTATACAGGCACCACCGGATTACAGTATTGGCCAATTCCTTACTAACCTGCTGGGGCCTCTGTGGGAATCTATTCGGGAAAGAATGGATTGGCCTACCTATAATACTCTGTGGAAATTTCAATGAAGATTTTCCTGTCCAGAGCAAAGAAAGCATATATCTGACCTTCACTCAAGAGGGATATACCCAACTGGGTCTGGCAGCCACCACAGAAAAAAACACACTGTTGGAATCACATTTACATCTGCCAGGTGTGCAGCACTGTCTCCAGTCAGTGAGTACTGTACAGTTATTACAGCTAATCATGATCCTGTGTATTGTGTTTTGAGCAGTGGTTGTGAACACGCTTATAGCCCTGCAAAAATAGGTATGTGTGTTGGTTGAATGCAACAGCATGTACTATAATGTAACTAATATACAGTATTCTGTGTAATATCACTTGACCAGTAGATGGCACTGTACGCTTAAAGTTACTAGTTGTGTTATGTGTAAAACTTGCTGCTTCTTTCTTCTTCTCGATCATCTTCAGGAAGTTAATGTCGTCTGTAACATGTCTGCTGTTTATACAGTCTGCTGAAAATGTGCTCTGAATATGTTTGTAACTTTGGAGCCACTAGTACAAGAAAAGCCTTGAATTCTGCTATCACTACCAGTGGTCTTCTATAACAAATAACCAACGAGTATTGAGCGTTGCCTGAAAACAGTGGTTGAATACTGATTATCATCAAACAGATAGCACACCTTCACCTCCATTCCTACGTCAAAGATGCTGAGACCGTCCCCCAAATGCATTGTGGTCATACCTTCATCTGCTAGCTTGATATGCTTGTCTAATGTTTTTATAAATGTATAGTTTTAATGTAACTGTGAAGCACTTGGGCAACAACATTGCAATAAATGTGCTATATAAATATTATTAAAAGTTGAGAATACATTTTCAATCTCATTCGTACAAGCCTTGCCATTTGCACTTTTTAAATTTGATCAATCAATTGGTTAGTGTAATGTTTACTATCTTTACTCACTCTCCATAACACTCCACACAGTTACTCTGCCCACTCCATAAAGTTACTCTGCCCAGTCCAACCTATTTCACAGTTACTCCAGCCACTCCAACCATACATCAGTTACTCAAGCCACTCCACTCAGTTACTCCGCCCACTCCAGTTGTAGAGCCTACTGGTGGAGGCAAGAACACTTCACACAATTTCCCCAGAAATGTTTTTCTTAAAATTGTACATTTTCTCAGATTAACCCCTTCGCTCCGCCTGCGCCTCCCGGCCCTTTTAACGGTTTCAAAACCAGGAGGCGGGGGTGGGGTTTAGGGTCATGTGATCGCCGGCCACATGATCGGAAATGGTCCCGATCGAAAGAGGAGATCGGGACCTTTCCGTGAGTACCGGACATGTGTGCTGGAGCGCGCAGGCACGCACTCTCAGCACATACATGTGAGGAACAGAAGGTATTTGAATACCCTGCGATTTTGCAAGTTCTCCCACTTATAAAAATCATGAGGGTCTGAATTTCACATGTGTAAGGTGGCATTCCCATCAGAGACAGAATAAAAAAAAAAAAACAGAAATCACATTGTATGATTTTTAAAGTAATTTATTTGTCTTGCACAGCTGAACATAATTATTTGAACACCTGAGAAAATCATGTTTAATAGTTGTACAGAAGCTTTGTTTGCATTTACAGAGGCCACCAAATGGTTTCCTGTTCTTGACCAGGATTGCACACACTACAGCAGGGACTTTTGGCCCACTCCTCCACACAGATCTCCTATCTAGATCTGTCAGGGTTTCGTGGGCTGTCGCTGAGCAACATGGGAGTTTCAGCTCCCTCCAAAGATGTTCTATTGGATTTAGGTCCTGGAGACTGGCTAGCCACTCCAGAACCCTTGATAATGCTTCTTACGGAGCCAACTCCTTGGTTATCCTGGCTGTGTGCTTTGGGTCATTGTACATGGTTGGAATGAACCCAGCCACGCCAAACCATCCGCCCCTGTTTCAATGACCATTCTGACTGCTCAGAAGGGAAGAGGATTGTTGCTCAAAATCTCACAATAAATGGCTCCATTCATCCTCTACTTAAAACAGGCAGTTGTCCTGTGTCCCCTTCGCAGAAAAGCACCCCAAAGCATGATGTTACCATCCCCGATGCTTTACAGTAGGGATGGTGTTCTTGGATGCAACTCATCCTTCCTTTTCCTCCCAAACACGACGAGTGAAGTTTAGACCAAAAGTTCTACTTTGGTCTCATCTGACCACATGACTTTCTCCCATGCCTCCTCTGGATCATCCAGATGGTCATTGGCAAACTTTAGACGGGCCTGGACATGTGATGACTTGAGCAGGGGAACCTTCCGTGCAATGCATAATTTGAAACCATGACGGCGTAGTGTTTCTACTAACAGTGACCTTTGAAACTGTGGCCCCAGCTCTCTTCATGTCATTGACCAGCTCCTCCCTAGTAGTTCTGGGCTGATTCCTCACCTTTCTTATCATCAGTGATACCCCATGAGGTGAGATTTTGCATGGAGACCCCAGTCCGAGGGAGACTGACAGTCGTCTTTAGCCTCTTCCATTTCTCCAACAGTTGATCTATTTTCACCAAGCTGCTTGGCAATTGCCCCGTAGCCCTTTCCAGCCTTGTGGAGGTCCACAATTTTGTCTCTGGTGTCTTTTGACAGCTCTTTAGTCTTGCCCATGGTAGTAGTTGGCGTCTGACTGACTGTGGGGTGGACAGGTGTCTTTAAAGAGCTCAGACAGGTGCTACTAAGTTAGATTAATGAGTGGAGTAGAGGTGGACTTTTTAAAAGGCACAGTAACAGGTCTTTGAGAGCCAGAATTCTTGCTGTTTCTTAGGTGTTCAAATACTTATGTTTTTGAACACACACACACCTCACCCTGTCAGCTCCTGCACATTGCTTTGTATGGCTCTGCATAGCCGAGCCATACAAAGCAGTGTGCTTACAGTGATATGCAATCACAGCCAACATCGTGAAACAGCACACAGTTTGATCACCCCAAATGTTAACCCCTTCCTGCCCAGTGCCATTAGTACAGTGTCAGTGCTTTTTATTAGAACTGATCACTGTATCGGTGTAAATGGGGATGTCAGTGACACCAAGTCAGTTCCCCCCAGTGTCAGAATGCCCACCGCAGTCTCGCTATTGATTGTCGATGATTGCCGCCATTACTAGTAAGAAAAAAAAAATTCCAGTACATGTACCTCCATTTATAAACGCTATAACGTTCACGTAAACCAATTAATTTGCATGTATTGGGATTTTTTTTTAGCAAAGACATGTAGCAGAATACATTTTAGCCTAAATGTATGATGAAATTTGATTTAAATTTTTTTTTTACTGGACATGTTTAACTAGTAGCCGACCGCAGATAGCCGAATGACGGCTGCACTGCGGCCGGCCAGTTCTGGGTGGACGTCATATGACGTCCCCCCAGAACGCGCTCTCCTGCGCGCCCCAGGGGGCGTGCACCCGGCGATCTCCGTGATCGCTGTGTCCTACGGACACAGCTGATCACATGATGTGGTACAAGGCCAATCACAGCAGCCTTTTACCACCTGATCAGCGGTGTCCAATGACACGCTGATCAGAGGGAAATGCAAGTGCCGGTTTCTCGGCTGCACTTTCCTCACGCTGTCAGATCGTGAGGAAAGTACTGCCGAGAACCGGCAGTTGCCAGAGCGAAGATCGGCACCGATCATCAGGGCACTGATGATCAGTGCCCTGATGATCGGTGCCCAGCAGTGACACCCGCAAGTTCCGCCCACCTGTGCCCAGCAGTGCGCCCACTAACTCCGCCCACCTGTGCCCAGCAGATCACCCACCTGTGCCCAGCAGTGCACCCACCTGTGCCCAGCAGTGCATCCACCTGTGCCACTCTGCAGTGTCACACACCTGTGCCCACCTGTGCCCACCTGTGCCCACCTGTGCCCACCAGTGCCACCCACCTGTGCCCACCCACCAGTGCCACCCACCAGTGCAGCCTAGCAGTGCTGCCAGTCAGTGCCACCAGTCAGTGCCCAGCGGTTGTGCCAGTCAGTGCTGCCAGTCAGTGCCCAGCAGTGATGCCAGTCAGTGCCGTCTATCATCAGTGCCATGATAGTACCCATCATCAGTGTCACCTATCAGTGCTGCATATTAGTGCCGCCTATCCGTGACACCTCATTAGTGCTGTCTATCAGTGCCGCCTATCCGTGCCACCTCATTAGTACTGCCTATCAGTGCCCTTTAGTGCTGCCTATCAGTGCCCATCAGTGCCGCCTATCAGTGCCCATCAGTGCTGCCTCATCAACGCACATCAGTGAAGGAGAAAAAATACCTGTTTGAAAAATTTTATAATAGAAACAGAAAAAGAAACTTTTTTTTTTCAAATTTTTTGCACTCTTTTTATTTATAGCGCAAAAAGTAAAGCGCCCAGTAACGATTAAATACCATCAAAAGAAAGCTCTATTTGTGAGAAAAAAATGATCAAAATTTCATATGGGTACAATGTTGCATGACCGCGCAATTGTCAATCAAAGTGCGGCAGCGCTGAAAGCTGAAAATTGGCCTGGTAAATAAGGGGGTATAAGTGCCTGGTAGGCAAGTGGTTAATAGCAAAAAGTCAAAAATATTGTTTTTTTTCTCAAAATTGTTTTTTTTTTTTTTTTTTTAGTTTATAGCGCAAAAAATAAAAACGCACAGGCGATCAAGTACCACCAAAAGCTGAATTCTTGGGAAAAAAGGACGCAAATTTCATTTGGGTGCAGCGTTGCATGACCGTGCAATTCTGTTAAATAATGCGACATATTGTAAAAAAAATTGCCTGGTCATGAAGGGGAAGTAAATCCTCTGGAGGGCAAGTGGTTAAAGATTTGATATGTTTTTTTATTTTCTATTGTGAATAAATGATGGGTTTCTGAGGTTAGTGTTACTGCATTGTTTTTATGTAGATTTTACACAGCGTCACACCTTTTTTGAAATTGGGGTTGTGGAAGAGGTGTATGGGCACCTCAATAAGATAAATGTCGACGTCCCTCAGACTGCCTCTCCTTTATTTCATTGAGACGGAAGCTAAGAGAGGTCTAGCTACACAGGTCTCCTTCATTGAGGAAGATGTTACCATGTATGACAGTCCTCCTTCCCCCCCACACCTCCTCTCTCCTTAGCGCCTCCTCTCTCCTCCTTCCCACTCTTAGCTCCCCGTCTCCTGCTTTCCTTCGTCATTTCCAGCATGTTGTCATATCCGGAAGTCACATGAAGAAAACAGACATCCCTGGCACTCCTTCGGCTGCGCATTCTTCTTACTTCTCGTCCATTGGCAGATAACGAAGAGCTGACAGGTCAGTAAACTGTATGTTTATCTGTCTTTGTGTTCTTTGTTCCCATGAATACCCTGTACTCCAACCCATATACATTTATGTAGCATAGTCTGCAGTGTCAGGTTGACATAAGATCCTTGTTTAGCCAGTGACAGCATTAAGAAAGATCTGCTTTATAAATAGGTGAATTGGTAAACTGCCACATAGCTGCATTATATCTGACCTGTGGAAATTGTTGACATAGAAATTGCACTTTTATGGGAGCTCTGGCAGTTCTTACAAAGGTTCGGGGCCCATTTACGCCCATCTGTGTGCGCTGACATATGTTAAAACCTAACAAGGGCTCGCTCACACTATGTGAGGTGATCTGTGGTTTTCCGCTCTGGATAACAGCAGCTCACCAATTGGGTACATACAAAACAATTATTTTCAATGTGTCCTGTTCACACTGGAACGCTGCTGTGATGTGCGCACGTGGAACCGCACAGCAGCGCAACTCACAATGCTGCTGTGCAATGGCATGAATGAAGTATCACTATATGACACCTTAAATACAGTTGGAAAAAAAAAGTGATGTGCTGAAGCTATGCCAGAGCCAACACTGCACAGTAAAATGGTGCATTTTAATATGCAGACTAATGTGAATCTGGCCTTAAATCACATGATGGCAAAACTGGGAGCGCAGGGAGTAAGGGCCAATTCCCACAGGCTTTCCGATCAGGTTTCCATATAGGTTTTTCAGCCAAACCTGATCAGAGGCTTCATGGAGCTCTGTGGCCATTTACATCCACCTATTTCCAAGTTACATAGTTAGTCTGGCTGAAGAAAGACAAAAGTCCATCCAGTTCAAGCATAAAAAAAAAGTTATAATTCTATACCCACAGTTGATCCAGAGGAAGGCAAAAAACCCAGCAAAGCATGATTCAGTTTGCTCCTGAGGGGAAAAAAATTCCTTCCTGATCCCCTGAGAGGCAATCAGATATTCCCTGGATCAACCTTACCTATAAATGTTAGTATCCAGTTATATTCTGTGTATTTAAGAAACAATCCAGGCCTTTTTTGAAGCAATCAACTGAGCTGGACAGAACCAACTCTTGAGGGAGTCTATTCCACATTTTCACAGCTCTCACTGTAAAGAATCCTTTCCGTGTTTGGAGATTACATTTCTTTTCCTCCAGACGTAAAGAGTGCCCCCTTGTCCTCTGTGAAGACCTCAAGGTGAATAACTGTACACTGATGTATTTATACATGTTGATCATATCCCCCCTTAATCTCCTCTTCTCAAGAAAGAATTAATTCAATTCCTCTAATCTTTCCTCATAGCTCATCTCCTCCATGCCTCTTATCAGTTTGGTTCCCTTTTCTGCACTTTCTCCAGTTCCCCAATGTTCTTTTTGTGAATTGGTCCCCAGAATTGAACTTTATATAAGTCTGTCTAGGTCGAGAAAAACCCCCCAAAAAGGACTGCGTTCTTTTCCATTCTTTTGGACTGTGACAGATTGGGGGTAGCCTGATGTAAATGGCACAAGTCCATAGAGCCATCATGTGTCCACCATTGTCCGCTGTATAAATGCGGACACAACCTGAATAGAACAGATATTAAAAATCTGACAGCTGTCCTATCCAGCTTTGAATCAGCGGGGGATCTATTCACAGATCCCCTGCTAAAGGGAGCCACTCCTTGTGAAGGAGTCTTTAAAGTAGTTGTAAACCCTTACCTATACCCCATGAAGTGACTGGCCTCAGGTGATGCACAGAGGTGAAACAAATCCTCCTACAGAAGTTGTACCTGCTTTTCTGCAGTCTTCTATACATTCATTCAAAGTCCAGAATTTATAAAGCTTGTCTGAGATTTCAGAAAACGGGAGTGGAAAGCTGAAATTACACACTGCAGAGCTCAATGAGGAGAGTTCTGAGATCTGATTGGAGGGGACATCCCCCTCCATTCACACAGGTCACAGGAACAGAGCTTAGGCTGTCAATCATAGGGGAGGTACCTCCAGCACGCAGGCTATCACCTTTTGTTTCATGGTGTGTGGAAAACTTGTCAGAAATGACTTATGCAGATAGCAGAGGAACGAAGTAGCAGACCGAAATGACACTTAGGGGTTTATTTACTAAAACTGGTTCACTCCGAATCCCGTGCACTTCTGCATGGAAACCAGTCAGCTTCCAGGTTGTATTGCCAAAGCGTAACTAAACAAGCTGGGGTTAAAAGCTGGCTACCATGCGCAGATACACCAGATTTTAAGTGAAACGGCTTTAGTAAATCTCCCCCTTAGTGCCTTGGATTGAGACAACCACACTATAGAGGAATATGCTTTGTTTATATTGCATGTCTGAAATTTACAACCACTTTAAAGCGGAGTTCCAGCTGTAAAAAAAAAAATAAGTCAGCAGCTACAAAAACTGTAACTGCTGACTTTTAAAATACAGACACTTACCTGTCCCTTGGTTCAGCAGTGTCCTCACCACCACTGGTTTCACCGGCCGTCTTCTTTGCCTGGCGCTGGCATCTTCAGTGTGGGCACCCGGCTGTGATAGCATACGCGAGAAGCACTGTGCTTTGTGAATGCCCCTTAGTCTTCTGGGAGGGGGGGGAGGACAACATCTGCTTCCAATCGCCTAGGTGATCACAGCAGAAGTGGGAGCGGGTACCTGTCAAATTTGGGCATTAAGCCTTTTGGGTGGAACTCCGCTTTAAGGTAAATATAGATGGATCAAAATGTTGTCGTTTCAGTAAGGGCTGGCCAAATTTCGATCCATGTGTGGCCACTGCAGTTGAACAGACTACTATCAGAATACAATAGTGCAGCAGGCAGGATTCCCCACATCCACACAAACCAGTAGTGGCCAGCTTTTAGAAGTGCTTCACAACAACTGTGAGTTTCTGTAACATCACCCATAGGCTCCCATGGCCCATTCGTTGTCAGCGCTTCCTTCTCTCCACTGCAGCAGCCAGAGCTGCTGAATCACCAGACCGGACCAGATTAAAAATAGGTAAGTACACAGATCATGTTGTAGAGGTTAAGCAGGATTGGGAATGTTTTTAAGAATAGTTATTGTTGCCCTTATCTTCCACTTTTATGAAGATTTTTACAAAGCTGCACAGTTTTTTCATACCTACAGGAGCCCCTTGACTGCATAGGCTATTTTGTAAAATGGTGAATTCCTTTTCAAAGTGAATCAGATGCAAATTTGCAGTGCCTGAAGAAACACAGGTGAATGCACATGGAGAGGTGTAAATGGCACCTCCTTTGAAAACAGAGGAACTCCATCAAAGTGAAACTCCCAGATCTTACAAGAAGATGCTCCAGCACTATACAGGGGAATCTTTTCATAAGATTTGGGAGCCTCAGCTTTTCAAGGATCTCATAATGTCCTTATCTAGGCGTCATAGACATTTGGTCTTTTTTTTCTTTCTAGAGCTCCTTTTTATAAGGGCCCATTTATACCAGAATGAATGTGCAGTGACGCACATGCTTTTTTATTTACATTGTGTTGGGCAGCCCAAAATGAATAGGCTGTAAACGTACCTTCAACGCACATAAAAAAAAAAAATCCTGCTGCATTCTTTTGCAGCTCGTCCTACATCATGGTAGTGTGCAGCAATGTGCTGTAATGCAGCTGGCTTCTATAAATGCTCTTGGGTACCATTCAGTAGAAATATTACTCAAAATACTCATCTGCAAGCCATACTAGTCTTGATGTCAGATATTGGGTTCTGAATGGTATGGTGAATCCTAGATATAGTCTATATCCTCAGCACACCATTATATTCAGAAAGCATAGTGAAAAATCACAAATAAATGCTATGTGTTGGACATAGTCTATATTTATTGAAAACGAATGATACATTGGCACACTAAACTGTGCATGGTGCATTATCACACACGTTTTGCGTTATTGCAGTGCAGTAGTGTGGATGAGCCTTAAGGTTATTAAATATACATACATACATACTTTAACGTGTGCTGGTTTAGGTCGGTTCATTAATTTGACCTCAAAAGACCAAAAATGCATGCAGCATTTTATGTCAGTACGTGGCAGGCAACCCGCAATGTGCATTGTCCTACAACTCAAGTGTATTGAGGTTTACCACAACTAGTGCTATTCTAATGTTGTCATGTTTTGTTTTTTATTTGTAATTAGTGATTTTAGTAAAATCAATGTAAAACTACCAAGCCTTTCTTGTTTCCAAACTTGACAATTTTTAGTAGAATCATTTTTATATAGTATAATTATTTGTAAAGTGGAACTTCACTCTCTCAATCAATGTTGACTATTTTGAATCCTTATGCTGCTAGCATTAGTAAATAGATAGGAACATATTTCATATTTACTTGTTTTAAACTAATTTTTACAATTCTTTAGTCACTTCCTAGTCACCTTCTTTGCCTAGGCAAATGATGTCCTACATTCCAGGAGTCATTCCTACATTCCACGAGAAGGGGTTTTGTCAGCTAACCGCACCCTCCTGCCTGTATGCCTGAGCTAAGGGCAGATGGATTACAGGAAGTAATTGCTACATAAATCGTCTGCCCCTACTCAAGATGGCCACGGCCAGATATGCTAAGGTGGTGTTTTTCTAAGTGATTTCTCGGCAAAAAAAAAGCATGGACACATGGATAGATGGGGGAGTTTGTTTTGAATATTAAAAATGAACTAAATAGCTCTTTTGGTTTTTGGTACTCAGATACAGATAATGTGGTTCCACTTTACGTTTCAGCAAATCTCTCACAATTCCATTTTAACATATTACATATTACGTCAATTCAACACTCATTGTATACCTATTCACTTTGTACATTATTAAATTGTATGCCGTCTTACCAAGACACCATGCAATAATATTACTACAGACCACGATACATTCCATAGAGGAGAAAAAGAAGGAAATAATATTTTTTTCACACAAAGTAACACCCCCACCGCACCATATCATCACTTAAGCTGCTAAATCTTATGACAGGAAACCCCTTTTAACAGAAAATATCTAAATTTAGAAGTTGCACAGAAATATCTCCAAAGTTACCGCACTTCCGAAAATTTTACATATGTAATGTAATATGTAGGATGGCAGTTAATTCTTCCATCCTTTCCAAATGCTGCATTTCATCTACTTATTCCCTCATGTTTAATGGCGAAGAAGACATCCAGTGTTTTGGAAGAATCGATCTAGCAGCCATCAGAGAAAAACATAAGATGCCCCTTTTAGTCTCTTTTATAGAACCAGGAAAAATAGACTATATTGTCTAGACTAAAGATATATTTGACACTGATAATGTGTCAAATATATGGTCATATATGTCAAATATAGGGTCATATATGTCAAATATAGCTGATCAAAATGGTGTAATATTTGGGTAAGACCACCATAAATTAAGCAACGAACTTGGATGACAGACACATGACGGAATATATTATGTAATCTAACCAGATATTGGCACCACTTAGATCAGTGGACTCCAAACTGGGGCCCACGGGCTGGATGCGGCCCTTTGCTTGCCCTTATCCGACCTTTGAGACACTATTCCTCCCTCTGACATCAACAATGGGATATTATTCCTCCTATTGACACCAGTCATGGAGCATAATTTCTTCCTCTGACACCAAAGATGGGGCACTATTCCCTCCACTGACACCAATGATGGGCCACTATTCTTCCCACTTACGCCAATGATGGGGCATTATTCCTCCCACTGATAGCAATGATGGGGTACGATCCCTCTCACTGATAGCAATGATGGGGTACTATTCCTCCTACCAATACCAATGATTGGACACCATTTCTTTTCCTCCTGACCACAGGGGTGCTATGTAATTTTTTTTCTTTACTCCCACTGACTACCAAGGCTGAGTCATTACCTACTCCCACTGTCCACAGCCTGGCCCCCCTAAAGCCTGAAGGACAATAAACTGGCCCTTTGCTTAGAAAGTTTGGAACCCTCTGATAATAACTTAAAGTTCCTCTCCTGTATCCTACTGGCAATGGACATCTTATAAGTTAGCATAAAAGCCTTGGTGTCTTCTTCTTGAGATATAGTACACTGCAGTTCTCTTTCCCATTCAGCTTAGTAGTAGAAAATTATGATCTAAAGTTAGGTTTGCTATGGGTGTGTGTGGCTCTGATGTTTTTAAAGTGTCATTAAGCATGATTTTTTTTTTAAATTAAAATAATAAACATGTTATACTCAACTGCTCTGTACAATGGCATTGAGCAGAGCGACCCTGAACCTCCTCTTTTGGGGTCCCCTGCCAGCGATCTGGGCTCCTCCTTTTCTTCGTGTGCAACTATAGCAAGCCTATTTCTATGGGGGCACATGTGCATGCTCACTCTTGAGCTGTGTGTGTCTATGGCAGTGGTCTCCAAACTGCGGCATGGGGGCTGGAAGCAGCCCTTTGCTTGCCTTTATCCGGCCCTTGAGGCACTTTTCCTCCCACTGATACAAGACACTATTCCTCCCACTGACACCAGCAATGGTGCATAATTCCCACTACTGACATCAGCAATGGGGTCCATTGACACCAACAATGGGGCCCTATTTCTCCCACTGACACCAACAACAGGGCATTACTCCTCCCACTGACACCAATGATGAGGCACTCAAACTGACACCAACAATAGGGCACTATTCCTCCTCCTAATACCAAAGATGCATTGTTTACTCCCACTGATACCAGGACAATTTCTACTCCCAATGGCCACAGACTGTCCCCCCTGAAGTCTGAAGGATAGTAAACTGGCTGTTTGTTTAGAAAGTTTGGAGACCCCTGGTCTATGGAGTCACGCTCTATAGACACACATAGCGGGGCTTGGCCCCGGCCCTGCTTCCTCCTCACATCATTTGATTGACAGCAGCAGGAGCCAGTGGAAGTCCCTGTCTCCTGTGGAAGAGCAGGAGAGGGGAGATGAGATGGGACTGTGAACAATGCTGGATCTCTTCTCCCCTATCTTCCTCTTCCCACAAGGAAGGGGGATGACAGAAGGCTATAAAACATTTTTTACAGTAATGCAAAGAATGCATTAAGGTAAAAAAAAAACATTTTGGCTTTAGAACTATAAAGTCGAGCTAAAGACAAATCCTTTTTCTTCCATATTGGATAGAATAAGGGAGAGTATAACCCTTGTCAGGTTTATCTTTCATTTGCGTCCCAATGGGGAGATTTCCCTTCACTTCCTGTCTGTAGCCAAAACCGGAAGTAAGAAGAAATTACTTCAATGTGAGGAAAACCTGGTTGTCACCAGGGTCACCAGAACCAGTGTCTCCATTGGAAGATTTCCCCTTCTTCTGGTAACCACTCAATGTGGGATTTTCTTTTATTCTCAATGATCATACATAGAACAAATTCAGAAGGTGAATCTCTTAATGGGGTCACAGCAATAAAAGCTTGACAGGTGTTATAATCCTTCTCCACTCTATTTTTACCTAAAACTAAAGTTTGCATTTAGTTATACTTTAAGTTTGGATGTGTTTTGCAATCGATGTAAACTAAAAATTCATTATTTTATGTACATTTTCCTAGACGTGGGTGCAGAAGACTATCTGAGAACCTGTAAGCAACTGATAACCAGCCTGCACAGCAGAGGACTACTCGACCCAGAGCAAGGAACATTCACGTATAAAGGAAGGCTGGGGATGCCTTTTCATGTAACACAAGCACCTGGAGGTACACAAACGGCCAGAGACATCCTGGAGGTGCACATGAAGGGAATGTCTCCAGTAAGTGCTAATCAGTGACCATTGCACTTCCTTTTGACATTCCGTTCTGTCATATGAACAGAGGACAACCCAGATTTTGCCCTGACTGAAGCCATGTAGAACAACCACACACGGACTGCAATACTCACTACCCTTTGACTCTGCAGCACTCGGTTTTCTTGTTCCCCTGGAAAGGGCATAGAATCATAAATAACACAAGGACAGCTTAATCATCTTGTTACTGGAAGTGTTTTTCTTCAGGATTAAGAGACCCGAAAGTATTTTTCCTTGCTTTATAGCTGCAGTCTGCATAGTGAATCTGTTCAGTAGACACTTTGACTTACAGATTTTTGTTTGAATTCACCTTTTATTACCATTTAACTTCAAGGCATTTTGAATGTGTGCTGAAGCTAAAAAAAATTGTTTCGAGAGATATGCACACAGACACTTATGTTACTTTTGCTGATCAATTATATTTATTTTGTGAAAATGGTTCGAGCAGGCTGTGATCTAAATTTTTGCATGAAGTTGTCTTACTTTGGATTAGATTTTTTATGATATGGTGTTATGATCAATGCCTATTTTAACTGAAGAGCAAAAAGAAATTTTAGTTTTTAACTAGTTATTTTAACTGCTGTGCTTTTCTTCCTGTGAGATGAACGGGTTTTCCATTAAGGAGTTGTGCTGCCTCTTTTGTTGTCCACCATGTCCGGGCAGGATTGCTGCAAAACTGGCATTCTTGCCCCCAATACCAACCTATGCGGTGTTACCAGAACAAGATCCCTCCGTAAGGGTTGGAAATGGAAGAGGAGGAACAGGTTTCATGGGACGATGGAAACTTCACCTTACAGATCGTGCAGACTTTCAGTACAGTCAACGTGAGCTGGATACCATAGAAGTTTTCATGACCAAGAGTAGCCGTGGCAACAGAATTGCTTGCATGTATATCCGCTGTTCTCCTGGTGCAAGGTATTTTTGCCATTTTTTTTCTTTCAGCCAAACTGAAAATATATTATTTTACAGTCATGTATTAGATGTTTAGGTCTGCTGAATATAATGAATATTGCATATAAATTCATAGTGTGTATTATGTAAAAATATACACTATAAAGAATATAAAATTGGCCCAAACCATAAGGGATCATTCACACTTATGAGTTGCAGTAGCCCACGTTAAATGCTGTGTGTAGCTCTGCCATTCATTACCACCAGCATCCCATCTCACTGCACAGTGGCTGCCAGTGCATAGAAGCACACCACAAGGAAACACCACTAGCATTAGCCAAAAAGGTGCTAATCTGTTAATTTTTCCATTGAGGTGCATTGGAAGCCCATTCACAATGAACATAAATTGGAAATGGGCCATAATAAATGCCCTTTAAAGGAGGAGATATTACTGGGTGTAAAAACAGATGAAAAGTCATGTCATGTTTCAGCTGTGTCACAGGACTGTAACTGATCATGCTTTGAATTTTGCTAACTTGAAGGGCAACATTCATATATCTTCTGTGGCTCCAGAAATGAAGAGACACAAGTCAGATGACAGAATGAAATGAGACGCCCAGAACTATTATCATTAAAGTATATGTAAAACCATAACTTTTTTATTTGTTCAGGTAGAGTGGGGAAGGGATCATTGTCCAGAAGTACAGAAAGTTTTCGGAAATCCAAAATTTCATATTTTTCACCTGAACAAAAATCAAGGTGAAATATTCCAATCTGATGCCTTTTCTGGTGACAACATTCAAGAGCCCATTCACACTATGTGTTCTGTTAATACAACACATTTCCTCAGTTAAGGCAACCCATTCATATTGAATCTTACAGATTTCTTCTTACTCCGCTGTGTTTCTGGGACAGCAGGTAAAGGGAAATCTCCTAAATGGGAGACAGAAAGTCAAACGAAACAGGATTCTTAATTGTTCTCTACTCTATCCAATAAGAAGAGTTTTTGCTTTACATTAACTTTAAAGAATTATGCATGTAGTTACACAGGGAGAAGACTGGCTCCTCCATTTACAGGAAACAGAGGCAAAACTGTGAAAAACCCTTCCTATCCACCTCGTTCTTCAGTTTAGATTGTGTTTAATACAACCAAAAAAGCAGCGCACAACATTTTGTTGTTTTATCCTCACTGGTTGACCTTTGGGTTAGCAGTCCCCGTCCTGATGCAGATCCACCTGGTAAATCTTGCCTTGACTCTTTGCTTTGGTCAAAGGGCTCCCCTTTTTTTTTCATTTCAAGATCTTGACCCCTATTTATTAGGGGGTGGGGGTGACTCTTGAAGCCCCTAGATTGTAAGCCCTGTCTTCTACTTTCCCCTCTGGGGGGGTTTTGAGAATGGCCTCTAGTGTGCTCTGGGATGTCTGAGACTATGTGGAGTCATGTGCTCTAGCGGGTATGTCCTCTCTAAGCCTCAGTTTCTGGTAGCATGATGGCCTGGGATGATGCGCTTCCGTTTTTACCAGTACTAGAATGCCAAGGCTGGACAGTATGGGGGATCACTGCTACCATTCAGAATGGAGAGCAACAGGATGGTAAGTGGCCCTGACTACTGCATCCTAAGAAAGACCTGTGCTGACCAGGCCTTCCCTGCAGGGGTTTGATGAATTGGGCTGCAGTATCACTTTGCTGGTGGGTAAGGGTTACAGTGTGTGCGTGATCACTTTCCCTCCCTAGGGTTTGCATTTGGCTTTTGTGACTGCCTGCTTTTTTTTGTTCAGGGATGCTTTGTCTGACATGGCATGCTTTCTAATTCCCACATATCCACCTACTTCCTCAGGCTTGGGTAAGTAAGGCTGCGATGGTTGTAAACCTATGTTATTTTCCTTGCATGCAAAACTGTCTAAGCTGTCTGCCTGTGAAGCTTCTGCTTTATTGTAGAATTTTCTTAACAGTATAGGTTAACCTTCCACATTTGAATTGGTACCTACAGATTTTGGATCACCTGATTACAGGTCATGCTGCCAGGAATTAGTTGGACTATGCCTTGGAAGCGACTTATATGATCCATTAGGGAGAAAACTGTCATGCAAGCGTAGCCAGGCACTTTCTGCCTTGGACAAAACTTCATGATCCAGCTGTGTCTGCCAGACTTGGAATATGGTGGGTGTTTTTTCCCACACTTGACAGCATCTAGCCTCAGGAGTATGGTCTCAGACTATCTCTCGGGTAGGAAATGCCGGACATGGACTTCTGGTTTCCATGCTCCACTACAGACTGACCAAGTTTGTCTCCAGGTATCCTCTGTAAATCGCAGCATATCCTCTGATGACTCTGGTATCTGCTTAATTTGATCTATGCCTTTCCTCCTTAGAAATTTCTTCCTTCTTAAGGATGGGGCTGTTCTCTTTTTTTTGTTTTGTTTTTTCGTTTTTGTTTGGTTATCCCTAAGCTTTTGTAAGTTAGTTGACTTGCATAGTCTACCATTGCACCTGGAAATCGTATTTTTCATGGTGCAAGGCAAGGAAATCCCATCCCAGGAAGTTCTTAATACAACAAATCTGGTCTTTTCACAAGTCTTGACTTGTGAAAGTCAGAGTGCCTTGCTCTGGGTACCTTCAAGGACCATGCTTGGCCTTAGCAGTTCTCTTTTAATACTGCTTACCCTTACTCTTGCTTCAGAATTGCTGCCTTTATTGGCACAGTTGGAAATCCACCTCTCCCATGGTCTTCCTTCTTGCCTGGTAGGCAAAGTTATCATAAGTCAAGGCAAGGAATTCAAGATAATATTCTTGAGCTCTAAAACTTTGGGCATCTTTTTTTTTTTTTTTTCCAGACTGAAAGGCAGACTAGAGGCAGACCCCATGTATTTATCAAAGGTACTTTGTTTTGCAGGATCTGGGAGATTTTTTCCTACCTGCCTTCTCCAGTGACCCTAAATATCTTGGAGAAGAGAATGCTTCTATTTATTAAATGTTTTTGGATGCCTCATCAGCTATTTAGGTACTACTAGAGATTCCAAAAGCTTTTTATACCATTTTTTGTTTGCTTCATTTAGTGGTCCCAGAAGGGCTTTTAGCCCTCCCCCCCCCCCCCCACTCCCCAAGGGGGTCAAAGGTTCCAGGTGAATTAAACAAATAAAATTTTTACTTCTAAAAACTGAATACATCCTCTTTTAAAGGCACATCCTACCAAATGCTACATCATGCATGGGAAAGGCAGGAACTTCAGTGGAACATATCTGTTGGGAGGCTGTTTGGTCTAGTATGCATAACTTCTTCTTGCTATGGTTGAAAGTACGTTTGTACCAAGACCTGGTGTTTGGCTGAAAAGTGGTCCCACAGGGGTTGACTTGTTTTATTACTTGTACTCCCTCTCGGGTCGCTATCTTGGAAGATAATTGTGGAAATTCCCTGTTAGTCTTACCGGTAACTGAATTCCCAGGAATCTTCCAGGACAATAAGCCTACTTGCCACTTATATTATTGTGGTAATATTATAATTTTTTTTTTTCCCTCATGTACTGGTGGAGGTAGTCTACTTTTATCTCAACTGAAGGATGAGGGGGGTGGGAGGGGTTTTTCACTTTTTTTTTCTCTATTCACTTTACCTCCTGCTTTGGTATCGATTTGTAAAATTTCAGATTTCCCATCACTTTCTGTCTCCGTGACCAGTGAAAAGGTTTGCCTAGAAAAATTTAAGCATTTGTAATTGTTAGAAATCTAATATTGATTAGAAGCAAACTATCTGTTCTCAATGTAGAGCTGTCCGTTGCAGTGCTTTTCCACCACTAGGCGTTCTCACCCTAGGTTCACATCTGTGCAGGTGGTGTCTGCACCACCCGCACAGAGAAATGCGGATTTGCGGGCGGGTGCCATTTAGTTCTAATGGCACGCCGCCTGAACTGGAAAACGCAACCGTACTAGGAACCGAGGTTCCCGTGTGGGCTGCGTTTTCCAAAGAAGTGCAGGGACTTCTTCCCTGCGAGTCATGGGCATGGGAGTCCATTCAAATGGACCCACTTCCTCTAAGTCGCATTGCGAACATTCGTAGATGCGAACAAAGCACACGGAAGTAACTCACGTGTCTGCCAGACATTGTCACAGCTGTGCTGCTGTGTGCTTACTGTACAGTACAGTGTGATGGCGTACTGTTCAGAGTCCAGGATGTCCGGAAGCAAGAGGAAAAGCACTGGTGATGTGGAGGGGACTGCTAGGAAGCACAAAGCAATAACCATGGCAACAAAAGTAAAAATAATTGAGAAATTGGACCGAGGCAAAAAGATGGTAGACATAGCTCATTCTTATAACATGAATCGTTCAACCATTGGCACAATTCTAAAGAACACGGCCAAGATCATGGAACATGTGAAGTATGCTGTGCCTATGAAGTCAACAATAATATCCAAAAAGTGTGGTGCAGTGATAGAGGAAATGGAGAAACTTCTCAGTGTGTGGATGCAGGATCAGCATCAGTGTCGAGTCCCACTCAGCTTAATGCTTATTCAAGAAAAAGCTAAAAGCATGTTTTAAGACTTCAAGAAAAAAAACAGGGTTAACAGCGTGCCTCTTTTACTGCCAGCCATGAATAGTTTAACATCCCAACGTCAAAGTAGTGCACCTGCCACCAAATACTATGGCGCTCATCCAACCTATGGACCCAAAGGAGTTATTGTGATTTTTCAAGAAATATTATTTATGTCACACTTTTTGTCAGGCAGTGAAGGCTATTGATGAAACAGGAACAACCTTGTGACAATTTTGGAAGGACTATAACATCTACAAGGCCATAAAAAAAACATCAACTTTGCTTGGCATGAGGTTTTGGCTGTCCTCATGAATGGGGTTTGGAAGAACCTTTGCCCGCAGTTTGTTCATGAAGTTCATGGACTTGAGAAGATGGGTAAGGAGTCCGAAGAGGTCTTCAGCAACTTAGAGGACAACTTAATTGAACTTCTTGCTGTGCAACATGAGGAGCTTACTAATGAGGACCTGATGGAATTAGAGGACAAGCAAAAAGACGAAGCGAGCCAAGAGGAAGATGTAACTGAAGAACACAGGAAATGGCAAGGGGATTTTCTTTACTTGAAGAGGCACTGTTACTTTTTGAGGCACAGGACCTCAACATAGAACAATACACAAACGTTGCAGCAGCCATTCAGAATGCCATCCAGTGCTACAGCGTTATCTATGATGAGAAAAAAGCACTATTACTCAGACTTCACTGGATCATTTTTTCCAGAGGGTAGACAGAATTTAATCCATCAAAAAACCTGTGTCATCAACATCAGGTGTGAGTGAAATTCCATCTTGCCCTCCAACTCCTATTGCTGATGATCCTTCAGCTCCACAATCTCCCACCTTCAGTTAGTAACTCTCTTCCACTATATGCCAGTTGTGGTACTGTACTGTACCACCATTTTAAGGTACGGTAACTGTAAACGTAAAAAAAAATTATAGTTGTACTGTACCACCATTTTAAGGAAACTGTAAAAGTAAAAATAGTTTATTTACAGTATTTTTGTGTGTATTTGTTTTTTTTTTTATGCTTTACATTCTATATTTGTATCAAAGGTGTATAAGACTCACACCTCACAATGGTGTCAGACTTATGAACTAATCCGTTTTACGAGCGTTCTCCCGGAACGGAACTCGTTCTTAAGTCGGGGACTTACTGTATTACATATCCATATCTGTTCTCACAAGAATTAACTTGGCTAAAAACAAATACAAGTACTTCCTCCCTGCTCTCATCTGGGTTTTGTTTATCTTTTAATTGGGCATAGTGACACAATTCTTTCTCCACTACTGGGAGTATATATGTTTTTGGATTTATCAAAGTATAGTTAACTATTATTTCCTTTTTCTTCCATCTACAGGTTCACCCTCCTCTTCTCTCATGGCAATGCAGTGGATCTGGGACAGATGAGCAGCTTTTACTTGGGTCTAGGGACACGTATCAATTGTAACATCTTCTCATATGATTATTCCGGGTATGGGGCTAGCTCAGGTCGTCCATCTGAAAAAAACCTGTATGCAGACATTGATGCTGCTTGGCAAGCTTTACGTACAAGGTGAGTTATTGGCATAGTTATATTATCTTCATGTAAGCTTATTAATGCTAGTGAAAATATAGTATATCAATTGTTGCTTAGTTTAGATGAACTAAAGTTTGATACAAACATTTCCATTCATATAATCCTGAACTGGCATGCCTGTTTACTTCTCTTTTAAAAAACACATTTACGTTTTACTAATGGTCAACACACATTTGTCTTTTTTCAATAACCCTTTCCTGATCTCCTACTGTAAATAGCCTTCCAGCAAGTTTCGCACACCAGGAGGGATTTGAATGAAGTCCTTGCTGCTGCACAGCTCTATACTATAAAGATCGCTCTGATCTCCAGGGTAAACCTACATGGTGGTGCTGATGAGGCCAGTGGCTTGATTGGTAATCACTCAGGTGATCCATAGGTTTAACGCTTTCATTGCTCTTACTGCAGGGAATGAAAGGAGGGTAAAAAAACACTGATGCACACCAAGGTTAACCTTTTACAACTGCTGCTGCTTTTTTTACACTACTGTAAATTTGTGAGGCTAGTAATCGACTTTCTAGAAAAAAATATTGCATCCTTAGCTTCTTGTAATTCTATTGTCATTATTTGCAAGAAAATCATTCAATCGGTTTTTTGTTATTTGGCATTACTACCTTATATAGTATAACATTTTGTTTGCAGTAGTATAGCAGAACGTAAGGATTTGTCAGACTTTTATTCCCATCTGTAATTCTACTGAGGAGATTTTACTTCACTTCCCATCTCCATGATGCCTGAAAGAAATATGGGTTTTGAATTCACTAGCGCAGAGAGCAACACAATTTGTATCAAGATTTCTAACCCTTCCTCACTCCACTAAAATATGTTTTTTCTGGGTACTCATAGGAGGGATTAATCATGACAGAATGTGAGAAGAAAACTCCCCAACAGGGACACAGTCCGCAAATAAAACCAGACATATACTCTAACTATTCTCCACTGTATCCAAAACAAAATAAAAGCTTTTGTACGCATGTAAGCAACGATTTAGGTCTTTGGGCATACTGATTAACATGTTGCTTTCACTAAAGGCAAGTTTTACCTATGTTGTTTCTCACCATGTTGTTGTTTCTCTCATGTTGTATGAATTTTGTACGGCATTTAAGGTTGCAGAGTTGTCCACATGGATATAAATGCAAAGTTCTGGACACTCATTTAAACTGAGGAAGTCATTCAAATGCATGGTAAAATATTTTCAGCAGTACTAAATACAATAAGTTGAATGCGAGATTTACTGCTATATTTGCCATCGCCTATAATAGGTTCATAGACGTTTTATTAAAAACTAGCAACATGGGGATCAAGCCAACACATTTCGGGGGAATAAAAAAAAAAAAGAGTATGCTTTGTCATCCATTTTGGTATGTTGGCATGAATGGGCTGCCTTAATGCGATGCATAATGCATGCACCTCAACGGAACGCTTAAGTATGAATGGGCCTGAATAAATTTTTCAGACACTGATGTGCAATAAAGACAAAGTGAGCTCTGTAAGCTTTGGCCTAAAAGTGGCAGACGGAGAGCAAAGGATTTGTCACCAGTATTGTTTGTGGACTGCTTGCAATTAAAAAAGTAAAAATAAGGCAAAACTTTTTTTTTTTTTTTCTTCATGTTGGATAGAGTAAGGAAGGGTTTTAATCCCTGTCAGTTTTTTTTTTTCCCCACGAATGTCCCATTGGAGGGATTTACCACCTTCACTTTCTGTTCCATAGCCAAAACAGGAAGTGAGATGAAATCCCTGCAAATGAAGGAATTCCTTGCCCTGCCCCCAGGTTGCCTGAATTAGTGTCACTATTGGAAGATTTACCCTGTTAAATTACTGTTCTAGGGACAAACCAAAATTCTGGATTTTCTGTTACTTTCACTGTCAGTGATAATGGTAATCAGGACAAATAGGGTTAATCTCCCTTTATGAGGTAGCGTAAACAACAGATTTTCTAATCCCTCTCCACTCTATCCAAAATTTAATTAAAAAAATTTAAAAAAGCTTACATTTAATTATACTTTAATATTTTCTCCATTAGCAACTCACCATGCCTTGTACTGCACTGTATCTGCATTTGGGGCAACCATATTGATACAGGCAGGGTTTTTGCTTTCTCATGTCACAACCTCCAGCAAGAACACAAACAATGTATGTGCGCAATATCCTTCTCTAGCTGAGTGCACTGTGTATGGCCAGTATTTGAGTGGCTTGTCATGGCTTATGTTAAGGTTAGCTGGAGCCAGGAGAAGACACACTGAGCACCCAAACAGTTTGGCTTGGCTTAGTGGCTAGGATGGTGCAATATAGTGAAATTCAGCTCATATTGAAAATGGCAGGATGGAGAAGCATGGGGGGCCAGCACTTTTTTTCTGGAGAAGACTTGAAATAGCTGGAAAAGGAGGACCATCACCATTTTCAGCAGGAGCCATGGTGAGCACTATTCATTAGATGTAAAATTGCATAGGGGTTTTTTCTGAAAGTCTTCCCGAAAAGTGAATACATGTGACCCCTGGTTGCAGAACTCATAGATTCACGTGTGAAGGGAGATAACAGGGCTTTCTCTGAATGGCATTCGCACCTGTGTGTTTTTTTTCCAAAAGGGTCCTATGTGTGTTTGGTGCGATGCAGTGCATTTTTGAGCCCCATTGACTTGAATGGAAATAGCAATGAAAACGCATAGGTGTTCAAATGAAATGTGATTTCAGTGTGAGATACACCAATGTCACAGAATTAGCCAAAACAGAAATTGCAGCAGTGTAAAATTGCAGCAGAATCGCACCGCCACTACTCCTGAAATTGCACTTGAAAACGCATAGAAATCACACTGCACCAGTGTGAACCAGGACTTACTCTTACACAGCACATTTACAACTATAAGGCTGTAGGCACAGGAGTGTCTAACCATTTTCACATGCCAAGACTTGCTTACACTGCACTCGCTAGTTTTCAGGAGGAATTCCAGACAACAATTACATTTGTACTGCTTACTATACATTTGTCCTGCTTTAACACAATTAACATTTATAATTTTTCACTAAAACATAGGAAATCACTTGTTTAGCTCATTTCCATTTTAAAATCAGATCACATCTAGTAGCCATGCTTTAAAAAAATCCAGATAATGCAGACAAATTCTGTGAAATGTAAACTTTTCTCAGCCAGGTCCAAAGCTTTCTTCCATCAAAGTTAGTTTCTCAGCATGTCAGTAAGCTGCTGCAGCCAGTGAGTGTGTTAGTGATAGTTTCCTGGCTGTGCCCGTAAAAGAAAAAAAAAAAGACCTAAAACTACATACTGATTTTAAAAAAGGCTAAAGGGAGTGTTTCTTGTAAACCTGTTTTGCTTTAATTTCTTGTAACTGTATACATTGAAACTGGCCTCTGACCCTATATTTTCCCTATGCTTTCATCAAGCAAAAAACGTCTCCTGATACTACAGCAGTCTTTTGTGAAAAATTTTACCCTACTGGAGCCCTTAAAGTAGTTGCTAAAAATTAAAAATTAGTATACCTATATCTTACAGTAGGTTAGCATGATCACTAACAGGAACAGAAACTAGAAGTAGAAAATGTATATTGTGGTGTCCACTAACATTGTGCTCAATGTATAAGTGACCCCTTACATTAGTGGTCAATGTAGGTGGGAGATCAACTGACCACTGTATACTGCTCAGGGAACCCCTAGCAACCTCAGGAGGAACCCTAGGGTTCCACTGAACCCAGGATGATTTATGTTAATAGTTTGAAAATTAACTTAACAGGAAGTCACCTGTTTGGGGAATGTAGCCTCCCACTATAGTTTCTATAACCCAAATTACAAAAAAGTTTGGAGGCTACATACAATCTAACTACAAACAGAATTCAACGAATTGCAAGTCTCATAAACCCATATTTTATTCACAATAGAATGCATACCAAATGTTTAAACTGAGAAAATGTACCATTTTAAGAAAAAAGTTAGGTAATTTTGAAATTGATGGCAGCAACACATCTCAAAATGTGGGACAGGGCAACAAAATGCTGTCAAAGTAAGTGGTACCAACAAGGAAGACCTGGAAGAATATTTTGCAACTGAAAAGGTTAATTGGCAGCAGGTCAGTAACATGATTGGGTATAAAAAGACATCTTAGAGAATCAGATTGTCTCAGAAGCAAGAATGGGCAGAGGTTCACCAATCTGTAAAAATTGTTGAACAATTTCAGAATAATGTTCCTCAATGTAAAATTGCAAAGACTTTAAATATATCATCACCTACAGTACATAATATCAAATGATTCAGAGAATCTGGAGAAATCTCTGTGAGCAAGGGAAAGGTCGAAACGCAATATTGAATGCCCATTTGTGACCACTCTCATCTGCGCCCTGCACAAAGATTTTCCAGCTTGCGGGACAACAATCTATGTGCTAACCACCTGAGAGCGATTGTTACTGGGTCAGGTTAATTATGCAATTAACCCTTCACACTGCCACCACCACCTTTTTAGAGAGAAGGAGGAAACTCACAAATATTAGCAGTAACGCTATGATATTAGTATAAGCGTCTGTAATACACACTGTCACCACAGACAGATGAATTTAGAGGATTATCACATACAGTAGCACTCTTCAGAGACAGGGATTCTTTAGTTTGCATTAAAAGCTTTAGAGACCGTTCAACACTTTTCAGAAAATAGGATTTATTACTAAAAGATCAAAATGGTGCAATTAAAAATATTTACAGGAAAAGATGTAACAAATATATATAAAGAGAGCAATAAATCAACAGAGAAATTAAAACAAAGAAGTTTCAGAAGGCAGAATACTTGCAAAAGTCCTTGGTTTGAGCAGAGTCCAAGTGTCCGAACAAAAGGCTGCCTTTGCTCTCAAGATGGTTCCTGATCGATGTTAAAAGGAGAGCTACTTTTTCTCCAGGCTGTCAGTCTTTTTCTATTATCTCATTCCTTTGGGGATAGGCGTTAGGCGGTGACCAAGGTTAGGACCAAATCCCTTACAAGTTCAT